GTCATAGCTTTAGCGGCAAACGGTGCGAGGCAAAACGCGACTCCTCGGCGCGTAAACGGAGAACCCAGACTAAGGGAGAAAACCCTAACAGAAAACCCCAATCCACCGTGTTATGCGTCCCGTGCCAATGGATGAATGGCATGAGGGTTATCATGTCTCGAACGGAGCTTCAGGGGCACCTGGCGCCACCCCTGAATATTAAGTCGCCTTGCGTCAGGGTTGGGGTCCTCCTGGCGTTGACTTTTACACCCCAATTCTCGTGGGAACTATATGGCTGAAGTAATTTTAAAAAATGATGGCCGTTTACCGGAAGGCCTAAATCCGGCAGGTGAAAGAAGCGTGACTCCTCTAACACCTGTAAGACAACAGTCACGAAGATCCAAATCTAGCAAGTCTTTGACAAAAGAAATCAGAAACTCGAAAATTTTCCGAGGAAGCACGCAAAAAAGAACACCACCTCGAGAGAGTTCTTATCCAGATTTGACAACTGAGGCTGGCAGCGAATGTGGTTTTGATACCGAAACTAGTAGCTGTCCAGGACCTGAACCTTTTTTGTTGCCAAACCAGCCAACTTCTGATCTCCAGCAGAAGAGAGGTACCAGGACAGAGTATAACCTAATCCCTGAGTCAGAGAAACTCAACCACTTTGAGGCTCAGCGGGTGTCTGGCAAAATTAGGTCTAATATAAGTCAATTCTTGATGGATCCTTCTAAGAAAGTTAACAAAGAGGCATCGTCCTATATAATGGACCAAGTCGACAGGTTGACTGAAATGGTCAAAATGATGGCCATGGAAAATGCTTACCTGGCTTCTCATATTCGAGCGGATCAATCCAAAACTAGCCAGGCAACAAACCTGCTAATTCCAGATATAGTGGATATCATAACTCCATCTTTTGCGAAGATAACTGAAGAACTAAAAGCTGCGGTTGCAGAAAGGACTATAAGTCCTGCAATTAGTCCTGTAAAGAAAATCGTGGGGGAACTCAAAACATGTATTGATCGGGTGCTATGCTTGGACGTCGAAAATAAAGGCATTAAAGCCAAAAAACGCAAGCAAAGAAAACCTGGAAAAATAAGTAGAAAACACAACACCAATAGTGAAATTGATATCCAACATGCCCCCTCACCAAATCAGGTCACAGACTCAGGCGGTGAATCTGAATGGCAAGAGGTTACGGTAAGGAAAACTAAGAGAAAGAGATTCAAAGAGAAGAATGCACATGAAAGAAACGAGCAAACGATTACCAAAGATATGCAACTAATCTTGAATAAAAGAAAAGAGTCTATTTTGAATAAGATAAAAAACAAAGCCGTGGACAATAATAACATTGTTATTATTGAACCAAACCCAGAGATAGACCCCAAAAGTCATCTGAAGATTGTTCAGGAGGCGCTAAATCCGAAGGTTACCAATATACAACTGGAAGATATGCGACTTACTGCTAGGGGTGCAGTAGCAATTAAGGTAGGTAGTGCTAATGAAAGGGACAAGTTATTGGACCTAGAGAAAATAAAAGATGGCACTCTTAAATATCGAAGTCTACCACAGCGTCGTCCAAGATTGCTCTTAATACGGGTTCCAAGGGAATTACAACCGAACGATCTTGTCGAGCAAATAATTGAGAGGAACAATCTGGGTAGCAATACAACAAAAGAATCAATTCGAGCGNTTTTTTTCTTCATGCTCTCTCATTCTGACTCCAGAGTTCTATCAGCTTCCGTCTATAATAAAAAAGCAACACAAAGCTGAAAGCCAATAAACTGTAAGGAGCCGGAAACGGCTTTAGGTACAGTAGAAAGAAAAAAGGCCAAGACGGTTCTGGCTCGACAAACGCAGTATTAGAACCTTCTTTGGCCAGGCCATCCGCCTCTTCATCCCATGGTGTCCTTTATGTGCTGGTATCCAAATAGGTTTACCTTGTTTTCAAACCTGGAAGAAATCCTGTTGATAAGATCTACTGTTTCCTCCACCAGTCTTGAGGTTGACAAATCTTTTTATAATGACCTAAGACATGCCTGACTGTCATAAAAAATTCTAATATCCTTTTCCTTAATTTTATTTTCCATAAGTGTTCTACAACACACATCAATGGCCAATCGGCCTGAAAAACGGAGGTGTTATTACCAGTGAAGCTATAGTAGAATGTAATAGAAGAGTTTATTGTTGTTACATTCTAAAAGATAAATTTTCTATAAAAAAAGAACAATTAACAATAAAATAATAATCAGTCTACCAAAGACAACCGTGTGAAGTTATGGACATTATAGGTGAGCCTCGTCCACTGACATCACTGACTTATAATTAAATAAGGAAGGCTAATTTAATAACTTTTCGCCATATTTATAAGCAGTTTTTCAGAATTTGCAATAATTAAGTTGAGCCATTCTTTGCCATTTTTTATATTTTCGCTACATAAGGATAAAACGCTAAAAAATGAAATAAATTTTCTTCTTCTAATCCACCTCATAGATCACATAATTATAAATATTTACATTTTGTAAATATTTATAATTTAAATTAATTGGGTTTCTGAATCACATTCAGTTTCCGTCTAACATCACAAAACGCCAAAGTTGCATCGCATAAGTAACGCTTATTTCCTAAACTAAAATTTAAGTCTCCGTATTTTGAAAATTGAAAATTATCGCCGTCAAACGATTCATTACTATAAATATAAAAAAGTAAATAATATTTATGGTTTGATTAAAAAAATTAACTGTAATAGGTGTGTAAAGACTGTCCATTTGGATCGGATCGTGTGACCCACATTTTTCCACTGTTATAGCCTCATTTCGTTGAGCAATTTCTGTAAATCCTTTGGGACGAAAGGGTTGATCTGGCTATTTGGGGTAATAACGCTTGTTTTAGGTCGGCCAAGGTCTCGATCCAGAGTAAAACCGTGGGCCAGGAGCGCGGCCGGCTATTTTTACAAAAAGGTGTAACGATTTGTTTTTAATTGCACTCACGGCATATACTTACTAAAAAGTAAGCTTCATAAAAACGAGGCAAATACGCGAAAATGCAAAATTGATACCTTATTCTATGGTCAAGTTTATAAAAAATGTAACGAAACAACCAGGTTTTTTGTATAACTCGTTTATATTTCGTGATTCTCAAACTAAAAATTAACATATAAAATAGGTATATTAAAATGAGCATGTTTACAGTAATATATGAAATTGATTTCCCGAGCCTGGATGGATGTACCTAAACACATATCATTTTGCACTATGGGAGGGTTTTTATCATTACTATAGGTGGTCTTAATTTTTTCATCATAATTTGATATAACAACTGTAGTTGCATTAAATTCATTAGAGTTCGTGGTCCGATTGACTGAATAACGTTTTTCAATTAATTAATCTTTATGTAAAGTATGGATTGCGATAAAAAAGTCAGTGTCACGAGCGGGATTCGAACCCACGACCTTCTGCAAAATACGCCACTGCTCTACCACTTGAGCTATCGTGACTTGGATCCACGCGGACACCAACTTCCCATCTCAACCGCACCTTTTGAATTTTCCCTCCTTTTGTTCAATGTCGTGTAATCTATTCGATTCTCGGCGACAAATGAAATGGCCACGGAGACCTTTCTTCAAGTTATACTTCATTTTACTTATTAAATTCACTAGTTTTCGTGGTCCGCTTGACCAAATAATATCTTTCAATTAATTAAGTTTTTTTTGTTGTGGAAATCACGATAGCTCAAGTGGTAGAGCAGCGGCGTATTTAGCCTAGGATCGTGGGCTCGAATCCCTCTCGTGACACTGACTTTTTTATCTCAACCAATGCCTTACATATAGTTTCATTATTTTATTCCTTTTTGTATCCAAAACCAAAATATCCCTATATTATCTGCTTATTTTTTCTTTATTTTGCTGTAAATTTACATAGTTTTCCTCTAAATTTATGTAGACGTTTTCAAACCAAATTAGCTTTTTTGGTTTATTCTATTTGATATTACTTATTATAGAATTTGAACATATGGTTTTGGTTTACAGTAGTTGAGATAACCGTGTTTTAATTGTGTATTGATAATATATCAACATGTTAAATCCCGTTTTTTTCCAAATTGACGGTCTTTTTAAATATGATTTAATGCATGACCGCACCATTTTTTATACTACATTTTCTATTTTATTTTTTAATCCGGGAATCAACTTTTTATCATTTTAAGACACATAGCAATTGTATTTATTGTTTTTTTAAAATTATTTTTAATGGATTTTCCTAAGGCTTGGTACATTTATAAAACCGAAATAACTGCAAGTGTCCTCTTCTTCTTTATCTCTAATATTTTTGTTATCAATCGTTATATTATCGTTGAAAAAAATTTTTTTTTTAATGATATTTTTAATCAAATTATCCAGATATTTGTTTAAATACAATGTATTGTTCCACGTTTTTAAAAACCTGATCACTGGTTACAACAACAAAATTTTGAGAAAAAACTGGATAAATCTCCAATTAGGCGGTACCTACTTACTATTTCGAAAATATATACAGGGTGAATTGCTACTCGTGCTACAAACTTCTCCAGTAGATTCTTCACCCTAAAATGAACAAAAAAGTTCATATTGTCCATGGTCCTGAAACTTTGATTAATATATAAAAATATAAACAAATTAAATTATATTACAAGTGGGTGGAATTTTTTTCCTGTCAGCGTATATGCAGCCTTTATTTAATTAACCATTATGTATTTAGTAGTTAGAATTGTCCGTATTAATTATTTAAAATATTTATACTGTTATCTAAAGTCTTTATTGAAATAAAAATTCGTCTTCGTTCATTTCTTAACCTACTTATGAGTTTTCAATATGCGAGTTGGCATACTACCTTTCTCCATTTCTTGCTAAATAAATGTTCGGCCATGTTGTCCACTCTGCCCAACAAAATTGCGCTTCGGATTTATCGGCGAATTCCATTTTTTATTTAAACATTCATAAAATTTTAGTTAATGTATATTATAAAGGTATAATTTGTTGTTTCCAGGCGGTACTGTTTTACATGCCGAGATGGCTGTGGAAGCATTGGGAAGGAGGGAAGATCCACGCCCTGATGATGGACCTCGACGTCGGCATATGTTCGGAGATCGAGAAACGTCAGAAGAAGAAGCTTCTCCTGGATTACCTCTGGGAGAACTTGCGCTACCACAACTGGTGGTGTTTCCGCTACTTCCTCTGCGAGTTGCTGTCCCTGGCCAACGTCGTCGGTGAGGGTTCTGACACGTCCTAACCAGATTTCCGCCGTGTGTAACATTCGAATCGATCGCACAATGCGTCCGGGTTGGTTCAACTCGGACTTATTTTTAGGACGATGACGAGTCGACGAGATCAACTCCCTGTAGTAAACATTCACGCCGTCACGTGCACGGCGGATCTCGAGCCGACTTACTAACAAATCACCGCTAATCTTCCTTCGAGACATCTATTTTATACCGTTTGAGCCAGGGGGTCAGACTTGGCAAACTGATGAAAGCTCTAAATCCGATCGTTGTAGTTTCATTTAAACTGTCTAAACGTGAATAACCACATTTTTTTAAGAACAATCAAAATCAATGTTTTTTTTTAAATTTGTAGTACATTACAACTACCTTCAAGTAGTTAACATGTTACAATGAGGTAATACATACAAAATTGAAAACAAGAGTGGAGAAAATACCCATTTATATTACTCCAGTGATACTAAAATATTGTCTGTGTAACTGATACTTGTGTCATTATCACTTTCTCTATCATCACCATCACTTCCTAGGAGATCACGCGGCCATTGTCTCTTCAGTCGGCGATGAGGGTTCGAGGGGATTCGTCGGAGGTTTCTGAAGTGCTGATTTATGGTAGTTGGGACGGTTTTATGAAATTTGCTGTAACGGGAACGGATTTTATCTTTAACGAAAGGGATATATAAGGCAGTATGTGTAGTTAGGTTCGATAATACATAAAATGAAGCGTCTAGTATTTTTCGTAGGATTACGGATTTGGCAGTTTGGGCGGACGTTGGAATGCTTGGCTCAACCCCACACTTCCAGTCCGTAAGTCCATGGTGAAGTCCGTAAGTCTGTAACTACGTGTTCTAAAGCAGCCTTTTATTTTTGAGAGTGTAAGCGGACGACGGCGCGGCGGCCGAATTATCTCTCGATATTCGCTTGTTTTTCTCTAAGCGACAAGAGATGAGTCGGCGTAAGCGCGTCGCTACTTATTCTTGTGTAGGGGAAGGTAAGGTTCCAGAATTCAATAAACCAGAGAGCGTATTCAGTAACATTTATTGTACACAATTCTTTCTCTTAATCTTAAAAACCTCAGAATCTTACTTAATCTACAAGTCAGCCACAACTCTAAATCTGGGATGAGTCTATCAACGAAGGGTCTTACCCCAAACGATGCTCGCTACGATCAGTGCCCACAGCATCTCTTCTCTCGACCTCTGACTTGGCTCGATGGCTCGCAACGGCTGGTCCTCGCTGGCTCTGGCTGGCTGAGTCCTCTTGTTGTATCCCAGACGGAGTGTGGCTGCTTCTCTCCCGGTCCTTGGTCTTGACTGCCTGGGATGAGTCTCTGATGTTGACTGGCTGGGGGGTGAGTCTTGGATCTTGACTCACTGGGGTGAGTCTTGTATCTTGACTGACTTTTGATTTTCCAGTCATCCCTTTTATACCGGGTCTCTCCCGGAGTAGGGGTGGAAAGGAAACTCAAAAGTCGGGGGAGTTCTCACGCCGCGGCTGGGCCTGCAAAGACGGCGGTCTAGCACAGGGTTGACGTATTCCCAATTTACGATGTCCCCCGTTCTTACCTAACTGTCTACCTGGTAACCATTTCTAAGCTACATTTACCAGATGTGTCACGTCGTTCCCGTCTGGGTCTGCCTCACACTTCGACGTTCTTACCTAACTGTCTACCTGGGTAACCATTTCTAAGCTACATTTGCCAGATGTGTCACGTCGTTCCCGTCTGGGCGGTTGCCCCTTCAAAGCACAACCCCTGTCCCTTTTCCTCGTTTACCTATTTTGTTCTTATTTTACAATTTAACTTATCGCTAAGACGGGGACCGGCTTACAAGAGGTAAATTAGAACGTCATAACCTCATGACATTTCAGTCGTGTGTGAGGATTCCACATCAGGAGTACCGCACCTTGTACCCAGTTGATCTGTATGCCAGGAGTTCTTTTTACGCAGAGTGAAGGTAATGTGGATGGAGTTGTCTGTGTTAATTTGTAACCTTTTCTTTTCACGCCAAGACTCTAGTAGTGTGAGGTGTTCTTGGAGTGGAAATGACAAGGTCGGAGTTGGTAGAGAGAATTGCTGTATCGTCTGCAAATGTGAATATAGTGGTTTCGGGATGTGATGGCATGTCAGCTGTGAACACCTGGTATAGTGTGGGGGCCAAAGCGCTACCCTGAGGAACACCATCATGTATAGGGAAATATGCAGAGAGAGAATGGATTTTTTAAAAATACAACTTCCAAATAATGATGTCATGGCGATATTACGACGCGTGAGATAGATGGAAAAATACCCTTAATAATTACAACAAAACTAAAGTTTCCTATCAAACATATATAAAGGATGTTCAGCTACTCATGTTACAAACATTGCTCGTAGATTCTTTATTCAAAATGGAACGAAAAAGACCTAATTAACTATGGTCCGAATCTCAGCAGTTGCGGAGTTATTTCACTTTTTCTGATTTTTTAAGATTTTACGACCTTGCTTCAAATAAACAATGATAACTCCAAACTTAAAAGGTTTTGGACAAATCCGTTCTTACCATTCAAAACTACGTTAAATTTCCAATAAGATGTCATTGAAAAATATTTTTTTGTTAATGATTATTTCAAAATGGTGAGAAACGGTCTGGCGTGACGTAGGTTTTAGAAAAACATTTTCTTTATCGTGCCAACGTTTCGATCTTTATTGAGATCATCTTCAGGGCCTGGGATTTATAAACATTGTTTAAATTTAATATCCTTTTTAGTGGTGTAATTTCTTGTTTAATTACTTTTCTCAAAGATGAAGAAATTGATGGAGGAAAGAAAAAAGCCGTGGCTGACGGATGGGTAAGGTGGAATATTGAAAAAAAAAAGTGACATAACTACGAAACTGTTGGGGTTCGGACCATAGTTAATTAGGACTTTTTGAATGTAGAATCTACTGGAGAAGTTTGTAGCACGAGTAGCAATTCACCCTGTATTTTGTCAGGCCATTTTGGAAACACCGACCCGTGACGAATCTTTACTGTTTCAATTATTAATAATAAAAAATTCACACTATACTTAAGCTTCACATGATTAACAAGCTAAAAACGTACCACGAGATAACGTATTTATAAAAAACGTTACACAAAATAACTAAAATCACCATAAAATTTATAATCCCATTAGTTAAGAAATAAGTTTATGGAAAAAATATTTAAAATTTACTGCACTTACTCAACTTTGACGAACTGAACCACTGAATTCACTTATTAATACACTTTTAGATTTTCGCACATTTTTTTATTCAAAAGAAGTCAAGTTAGATGCACACGCAAAAAAATTATGTACTATAAAATATATGTGTTATGCAAATCCCACACCAATTAATTTTTTTTTTTCATTTTCTCGATGAAAGAAATTTCTTCCCTTAATTTATCTCATTGTTTGTACCAATAAATATTTGTTTATGTTTTACTTTGAGAATATCAATTAGAGGTAAACACACTTAATCCTTAATCGAAAACTAGGCTAAAGGATTTTTCATTGTTTAATTTTTACGGAATTGAAGATGTTTATTCAGTCTCATTTGAATTCTGAAGCAGAAACTGTTTAGTTTTCTCTTTGTTTTTCAATTGTTAAACTTAAAAATGCCACTTAGTGCTGAGCATGTTGCGCGTGGTGTGGCACTTATCGATGATGGATGTTCCATCGGATATGCGGCTATTCCATCGGAGTTCCTCACTAAACACTGCGAGACTTTACGAGAAACTGGGTCCTACCATAGAAGGCCCGGTTCTGGACGCCCCAGGGTAACAGAACCACAGGATGACCGTTTTTTGACCTTGAGAATTTTGCGAATCCGACACCTGCGATTCATCAGCTTCCGGAAGTTTGAGGTGTCCAAATTTCTGAACGCACTGCTCGAAGAAGATTAAATCAGTGTGGACTGAAGGCTTTTCGCCCCGAAAGAGGACCAGATTTGTCCAGACACAGAGTTGCACGGCTGGCATTTGTTTGAGTACACAGCCATTGGTCTTTGAACGATTAGTCTGCTGTACGTTTTACACATAAGAGTAGATTTGCTCTACGACCTCCAGATGGGTGTGAAGCCTGTAATTTTTCCCAGAGCCTTTTCAACGTAGCTCGGTGATGGTGTAAGCGGGAATTTCAAAGGAAAGTCGCACAGAGTTGGTTGTCGTTCGTCGTTCGTGGAGGGTCTTGGACTGCCACTCCCTATGTGGATGAAATTTTGGAACATCCTCGACTAAATTAGCGACAATCCTATTCTAATGCACGATAATGCCCGTCCACATGTCGCTCGCATAGTACAAACGTAACTTCAGCAGCTTAACATCAGGGTCTTAGTATGGCCAGCCTGTTTTCCAGACTTGAATGGAGTTTATGGGATAACCTCAAAAGACGAATAAGAGCACGTCCATCACTTCCTGATACACTCCACCATCATGAAAGACTCTTCGTGAAGAATGGGCTAACTGGTAGAAAGTATGCCGAGACATCTTCGAGATGAAATTAAGGCAAGAGGAGGACACGATATTGAAATATTAATTAAAAATCTAAAACAAATTTTATCTGTCCGTCTTTTTTTCCTTAGCAATTTACATTTTTTTTAAAACTTTTTTAGATAAAGACTCAATTATTAATGGTTAAAAAACATGAAACTTTGATTAATATATAAAAGTATAACAAATCAAATTATATTACAAGTGGGTGGAATTTTTTGCCTGTCAGTATATATGCATTTTTTTAAAACTTTTTTAGATAAAGACTCAATTATTAATCGTTAAAAAACAAGAAACTTTGATTAATATATAAAAATATAAACAAATCAAATTATATTACAAGTGGGTGGAATTTTTTGCCTGTCAGTATATATGCATTTTTTAAAACTTTTTTAGATAGAGACTCAATTATTAATCGTTAAAAACATGAAACTTTGATTAATATATAAAAATATAAACAAATCAATTTATATTACAAGTGGGTGGAATTTTTTGCCTGTC